TCCAGGACAGCCAGGACTGTTACACAGAGAAACCCTGTCTTGAAAAAAACAAAGCAAAAGAAGAGCAGGTCTCTTGCATCCCAGCCTGGGCTTACAGGTGCCTTGGCTACCATGCAACGGTCCCATGTGACGATGGCCCCTCTGCCTCAAGTTCAAAAGGATTATTTGCTTTGGGGAAGAAGTATTTCCCAAAGGTTGATGTTGAAGGCTTGTTCTTCATGCCACGCTCAGAAGTGGGGATCTGAAGAAACGGCTGGATCACGAGTCTCTGACCTCATCAATATTAACCCACTGATGGAGCCGTAACGTGACCCCATTATAGGACAGTGGTGGGAACATTAGGGTGTGGGGCCTGGTTAGAGAAAGGCCATCGGGTGCATGCCTTTGAAAGATGTTATCTTGTCCCCTGTCCTGTCTGCTCTGGGCACATGCTCCTGATACAGGGTAGTCTTCCTTTCCTTAGGATCCAGCTGACCACGGACTGAAACTCCAAGGAGCTAACTAAATCCAGAATCCAGCCTCTTTTTTTTTTCCCCCCCCCTTTTTTTTTTTTTTTTTTTTTTTTTTTTTTTTTTTGCTGCTGTTGTTCTGCTTTGGTTTTGGTTGTTTTTTTGAGACAGTGTTTTTCCGTGTAGCCCTGGCTATTCTGGAACTTGCTCTGCAGACCAGGCTGGCCTCAACTCACAAAGATCCACCTGCCTCTGCCTCCTGAGTGCTGATTAAAGTTGGGTGCCACCCACCACCACCTGGTTAAATCCAGGTGATATTGGTTTTGTTTTTTAGTTTTGTTTTTTTTTTTTTTTTCAGATATTTGTCACAGCACTGAAATGCCCAATGCAAAAATAAATGGGAATTTCACATTGTAATCCATGAGTCCTTATTTGTTTTTGTGTGGTGCTGGGGATGGCACGCCAGTGCTCTGTAATTGGACCACATCAGCTCTTCATTTTTGGTTTAGAGTAATTTCATTTCCTTCCAAACCTTTCAGTAAAACTGTCCCTCTGAGGACTGACTCCACCCTGACTCCGTGTCTCTCACATGTTTTGGAGACAATGTCAGGACAGCTTAACCAACTTGGCAAGCCGTCTACTCTTCCAGTTTCTTCTGCCAGACTGTTCCTATGTCCCACTCTGCCAGGGATTCAAGCATGGTGGCTGGGTGGAGGGTGAGTTGCCACCCTGTGCCCCATACAGACCGTTAGCTAAGGCATCAGATATGTCCCCGATGTGGGAAGAAGTCAGGTCCAGGATCAGGCCTCAGTCTGAAGGCCAAGGGGACTCAGGTATCCCACTGCACAGCCGCACTTGAACCCCTAGGAACTGGCCTGAGCAGTCATTAACCTCGCTACAGCCAGGGCAACCCCAGCCTGACCCTTGGGCCATCACAAAGTGAGCTGAAGGCTCGTGACTTATTTGCTTGGCTGTCAGTGTGTTGTTTTTCACCGGTTAACTGATTGCCAATGTTTACAAGTTCAGTGATCCTAAGATTTTTAAAACCCTAGCATGGTGGTACAGGCCTAAAAATCCTGCGTCAGGCCAGCCAGGGCTACAATGTAAGACTCTTTTTCTCAACAAAAGCAAAACAAAAAGACAGGGCTGGGACTGCATCTCAACTGGCAGAGTGCTTACCCATACATGAAGCCTGGGTGGGACAACAAACACCTCAATCCCAGCCCTGGGGAGGCAGAGGCAGGAGGATCACTACAACTTCAAGGTCCAGCCTAGCCTACACAGTGATTTCCAGGCCAGCCAAGGCTACACAGTGAGACCCTGTCTTAAAACAAAAGGGGGGAGGGAGGGAGGGAGGGAAGGAAGGAAAAAAAGAAAGAAAAGAAAAGGCCTGGGCGCTGTGATACATGTCTGTAATAGCATTGCTAAGGAGGCTGAGACAGATCGCCCAACTTCCGGGCCAGCCTGGGCTACATGCTGCATACTAACAGAACAAGGCAGGCAGAACGGCCCAATACTCCCATAGCTCCCAGCATGGAGCCCAGCCCCTTCCCTCCCCAGCACACACACTGAACAGCAGTCTCAGAGTGAGGCTTTCCTGATTTAATCTAACTAGCAGTGGAAAGCCATCTGGAGGGTTAACCAGAATGGCTAAACAGCCTGTCCTCTGACCAAAGAACTAGTTAATTAAAACCGAATGACCTGGTAACTTGCTGCAATCTCTCCATCTCATAACTACTATTAGGTTTCTGCCTCACCTTTTCTCAAGGGAGGGACAGGAAGTAAGAGGCCAGTGCCCAGCCTGGAGCGGTGCTTCAGAGTGCCAGTTCTCTCCCACCAAGCTCTAGGAAGCTCACCGACTCCTGGCTGACTCAGGGAAGGGGAGGACCTTACGGGACATGAAACCTCCCCACTCACAGCACCTGCCAGTCATGGTGGCCCACGCAGTCAAAGGCAGAGACGCTCACTTCCAAGCCTGCATTGACTGGGATGTTTTCCCCAAAGGTCCCTCTTGTCCACATTGCAACTGTCCTCATCGAGGAACCTTAGTGGGACACCTAGCAACCTGAGGCTAGGACAGGCAGGCCCAAAGGATGACAGTAATTACCAGCTACTAGTAGTGGCAGCCAGGTGGCCCGATGCCCTCCTTGATTTCAGGAAGCTTTGGTGTCAGTGTGTTGAGTCACATTAATAAATACCTCAGGGTTTCTACTAACAACAGTCTCTAAATGGGGGTGCATTGAGTCAGATTAATAAGTACCTCAGGGTTTCCTCTCTGATGGGGGGTGTTTT